AGGTTTAGGGGTAGGGTTGGTGTAGGGCAATAGCACACAGTATAAAAGTATAAAAACCATTACGCCTATGGGATGTCCCCAAGTACAAACCTGTGTGTGTGTTAGGACACTGTGATTAGCGTGCAGGTGGATCCCACGAGGAGGAATGTGCGAGCGAGTGAGTGTATGGTGACTCCCATCGGCACTGGAGTGTAGGAGGGGCATCTGTCTCCAGTCAGAGCGTGAGGTGAGGCTTGTGTCCAGTGTGTGAGTGTGTGTTTTGGAGAGAGCTGGATATGCTGAGATCTGCCTGCTGTCTGGGATCTCGAGAGGTGATTCCTGTCACTCCGCAGGCGCACAACTGCACGTTCTACAGGACGGTTTTGGATGTGGAGAGTTTATCTGACAGAAATAGTTTGTAGTCATGCAGGGCAAGACGGGGAAAGCACCCAAGAAAGAGCTGGTGATCGAGTCTCCCCAGCAGTTTAAATATGTCCCTGTGGTGGAGGAAGAGCAGGACGGTGCGGGTCCTCAGGGGAAGGTTAGTGCGCTCGTGTGAGCTCCTGTCAGTCTGATCAGAGATGCTTTTCATTGCCTTTTAAGTGAGAGAAATCTGAGTGGAATAGTTTGATCAATCTTATTGATTTTTTTTTTTGTAGTAAAAAACTTCAACAACTTTATGATAGTTCTACAGTCAATCAGGTTGATTTTATAGTTAATCAGCTGTGAAAATGTCAAAAACACAAACAAAGTCAAGTGTAGTTTAATAGCCAGTCAACATTTTTTTTGATGGTCGACTGTTAATGTGGCTGATTTACTTTTCTTTTTCTTTTTCTTTTTTACTTTTAATTGATTTCATGACAGTTGAAGTGAAAGTTAAAATAAAGCATACAGACTTCATGAAAAATTGAGGTGTGGTTGTGACAGAAGGGCTGTTTAAAGTTATTGATTAAGCCTTTAGTGCCTGTAAACTGGATCGGTTTAGTTGTTTTTGGGGTTGAAACGTGTCGTGTAGTGGTATGGTACAATGGTGTCAGAAGATCATACCATGATATATAAAATTGATATGATACTGTATTAATATGCCTTGGTATTTACATAGTAAAGTTTGGGGTAAAGTTTAGTCAGTGCATTATATCAAATGATTAATTAAAATTTAAGAACCCAATAATTAAAGACTTTTTGAAGACTTTTTATTAATTAATACTATTTTTGAAGAAAATAAAGTTCAAGAAAGCAGCATTTATTAGAAAAAGAAATCTTTTGTAACATTATAAATGTCTTTACTGTCACTTTTGTCCAGTTTAATGAATTCTTGCTGAATATAAGCCAGACCCACTTTATATTAAGCAATTGTTTTCAACATTGATAATAAGAAGAAAAGTTTCTTGAGCAGCAAATCAGTATATTAGAATTAATTCTGAAGGACCGTGTGACACTGAAGACTGGTGTAATGATGCTGAAAATTCAGCTTTAACGTCACAAAAATAAATTACATTTTAAGATATATAAATATATAAATGTTGACCAAATAAATGCAGACTTGGTGAACATAAGATATATTTTAAAGCCATTTTAAAAAATTCATACTTACCCCAAACTTTTAAACAATAGTGTCCAGTCAAAGAGTCATGGTGGTTCATAAGGGTTAAAAAAATGTCTCAAATGTCTCTTCCAGCATTATCGCCTGAATGCAGGTTCACTTTGTCTGTCATGAGCACACACACACACACCCGACTGTCACTGCCCACATACTGTATCTTTCTCCTGAGTTTCTATTGCTACACACACAATAGAGCTGAGCTCAGCTTTCAGGCTGTTTGCTTTAAAATGGAGAGTGCACTGCTCCTCAGAAGAGAGAGATTAATGTGCTGAGATGATTCATATGGAGATCACACAAGCTTCCATCTTCTCACACGTGTATGTCTTTCCTGCTGTCACTTTAGTCCAATATATTCTGCTGTTCTACTGACTTATGAACTTTATTTTGGATGCAGAGTGTGCTGTGATTTGTGGGCCTGTTGTGTCCAGTTGGAGTGCGACTGGATCTTTCAGAGTACAGCAGTTTAAAGAAATAAACACACATTCACACAGCTGTTCTATCAGACTGCACTGTCACATTTGAGCACTGTGTGTGTGTGTGTGTGTGTGTGTGTGTTTTCCGATTGGTTTTCAGTTAGGAATTTCTATCGCAAAATATAACTATATCTAAATGAGGACATTACATAGGCTTCTGTTGTTTCTAGATACAGCTAGTTATAAATACTACAACCTAACCCTAACAAAAAAGCAATTTTACTAATGAGAATGTCCCTGAAAGAAGATTTTGTCAGAATAAACACGCTTCTTAATACAAATTTGTGGACAAAATAAGTGCACACATATACTTAGCCACAGTAACTGGTGCATTACTCTGATGCCATTTTGAACACAACACAACTGTGCAAACACTGTCCTATTCATGTTCCCAGGAATAAATATAGGTGTGTGTGTTTGTGTGTTTGCCATTTGTGTTTGTACACATGCTGTGACACACTATACTCCATCTAAATGATATGTTAAAAAAAAGTAGCTTTACGTAGTAATATGTGCACATTTTTACAGTACATTAATTAAGAAATTACATGAAATAATTGTGCTTCTACAAATGCACTTGCAGGACCATTTAAAATAAATTAGTGGTTGTCATGTGCAGCGACCCATTTTAGGCAGCTCTATGTAAAAGCTACACTATTGTGAAAACAGTCACTGTCATTGACACTACTGAAAAGTGAAACTAAGTTAGTAGCATCTCTGTGTAGGTCATTACTCTCTGAAATCGCTCTAGAATCAGTTTTTGTGCAGTTAGTTTCATCAGCGATAATAAAATCACCTGTCAGTCATATGACTGTAACTCAGGTCTCTCATATATGTGTTAAAGATTAAACTGCTGAATGTTTGAAATGCGAATATTAACTCTCACACACATACAAACACATCCAATTCATTTGATTTGACTGGACAGCGTTTCTCAGCGTTTTGCAAAACAAAAAATGTACAGTAATTGTGCATACAATTCACTGCAGTTTCCAGCTGAAATGAGCACTAGTAACAGTAAAACACCAACCATTTTTATTCCTTTTCACACAAATAATGATTATGGGGCAGATTGTCAGTTAATAAAGATCTATTTTTGTTTGGTATCTTGCACAATACCATATAATGACCTAAAAACACTTTTACCATAGTGCATGATTTGTAAACTAATACATTTCATTGTTTGCATCACATAAACAGCTCCATATGTATGGCTTTTCTGCCATAGTAAACTTGCTTGGTAGCTCACCTGGTACAGCGCTGAAGTTGTGATGCAAAGTCGGATACAAGCCCCATGAAACGCAAGTCATGATAAAAGAGCTGAAAAACTTGCAGAAACAAGATTTGCTTGGTTGCTTCAGCAAATACATTTTTGTTTCGGGTGGTACATTATTTTCAAATGCAATAGTGTTAACCATTTAATGTCACTCATCGGATGTTTAATTTTTAGAACTGCGTACGTATATTCACATTCTGTTTCAGATAAAACGGAACACACTTTTAGCATCACTCACTGGACACTTGGAAAATGTGCAAAAGCAATGTAATATAATTTTGAAGAAATGCCACCACATATGCACATATTTCCAGTGAGCCTGGCTCAGCCTGACTTTGAGATCCTGGGTTTGTATGCTCATGACACACACACTGCTGGGATTGAACTGGATGATGGTTGTTTTATGTGGTGTCTGGAGGCTTTAATCTGTTGTGCAGTCAGGGGAGCTGGTGTTCATTTTTTTGAGTGAGATTCTGGTCTTTGATTGGTCTATCCAGTTATGATATCATCATCAGAACAACGCCGTCTCCTTGGAGATCTGCATCTGAGGTCATTTTAATACATTTCTGTAAATGTATTTACAGAAACTCGCTGATCAGATCACAGACACAGAACAACAACACCCGGACTCTGTTTTAATCATTCTCAGGGACTTTAATAAAGCCAATCTCTCCCGTGAACTGCCAAAATACAGACAGCACATCACATGTCCCACCAGAGACAGTAATATATTGGATCACTGTTACACCACAATAAAGAATGCATATCACTGTGTTCTACGAGCAGCTTTGGGGCTCTCTGATCACTGTTTAGTTCATCTTATACCGACCTACAGGCAGAAACTGAAATCAGCTAAACCCGTATTAAGGACCGTAAAAAGATGGACTAATGAAGCAGAGCAGGATTTACAAGCTTGTTTTGACCTCACCGATTGGAGCGTTTTTGAAGCTGCTGTTTTTGAAGACAGCTCCGTCAGGCCAAAGAAGATGCTCACAGGAAGGGGGATAATGTCTTGTATAAACAGGCTAAATACACACTGGACCAATATCACTCCCAGATGTGTGAGTGGACTGTTATCTCACTTAGTCTTACACACACACACACACACACACTCCCAGATTCCTCCTATATCAGTGAAAACATATTACTAAGATCCTCATCCAGCACTCATATTCTGTAGAGATCACCGATTTATTTTATTACAGAAAGAGTATTAGCAGAGTGAAAGTATCGCCGCACAACATTTCAACTTTGGTTTTAACATTTTAAGTAATTTTTTTTTTCATTAAAACTCCTTTTGAAATGGATTTTACTAGGGATGCACGATATATCGGCCACCATATCGGTATCGGCCCATACATTCTTGAACTTTTACTGGGGCTCAGGACGTTTCTTTGACTTTTTAGACAATATTGCCATTGAACACCATTGAGTCTGTTTAGAAGCAGTTACAATCACAATGGAGTATCTTAAGGTGCTTTGCTTGAGGTTTTTAAGAAATAATATTTCATTGGACTTTACAGATCAACCCTTGCCTCGTTTGATTGTGCTAATTCAGTTTTTTTAGCCTCCTTTAAGTAGTATATGTGAGCACCATGCTATAACATATTGCGATATTACAATTGGGATATCTGTAAGATGTGCTGAATTTGTGCTTGTGTGTTTTCAGGTGAAGCCGCGTGTGGTGGAGCCTCTGGACTATGAGAGTGTGCTGGTGCAGAGGAAAACTCAGATCCTCAGCGATGGACTCAGGGACATGCTGCAGTTTCCTCTGGAGGATTTTCAGGTCAGATTATCTATGACTTTCCAGTTATTTTTTTTTTAGTGTGGTATCCTATAAATGTGAACAGTGGTTGGTCACTTTACACGTCACTCTGATGTCCTTTCCTGCCTTAAAATGTGGTTACATTAGACTTTAAACTCTGCAACGGCTGGAATACAACATCAAACTATGTGGTGTCTTTTTTAAAAAAGCATAATTCAACATATAACACGTAGACATGTTATCTACTTCACTTCACTAATAGCTAGGTTCTAAAAGTCTGTACTTTGTTTGGTTGCACCATTTATTTTTAAAGGGGTCATCGGATGCCCATTTTCCACAAGTTGATATGATTCTTTAGGGTCTTAATGAAAAGTCTATAACACACTTTGGTTAAAATTTCTCAATGGTAGTGTAAAACAACACCCTTTTTACCCTGTCAAAAACAGCTCTTTTCACAGAAAGCCGTTTCGGTGCATGTCCCTTTAAATGCTAATGAGCTCTGCTCACAGAACATCGTAATGTCAATGTATTGCATAGTCGCATATAATGTTTACTCTCAATGATCCAATATTAACCTTCAAATACATGAGCAGAAATTGTGTTAAAAAGCTGTTCATTTCAGTTCATCTTTAATTCTAACTTTTGTCTCACGTAACTAATGGTAAACATGTTTCCATTCAAATGCGTGTTGAAGAACCATTATCAAAGTAACTTATTCAAATAATATTCTCTTTCTTAAAATGTAAATGTCAACATTTTCATATATGTGTAAAGGATTGGCATCTGTCAGGTAAAACATAAGCTTATTGATGCAGTTCAGTCAATCTGATATTTTATTCCAAGTGTTACTCCTGGATGGAGGCGTTCATAAATATTTAGTTTATTGATAGAATTAAGTTTCAACAAGTTTACTGGTACAACACAAAACATATTTTGTAATGTGTAAGTTGTAACATACAGCCTAAGTTGTAATTTACCCACAGCTGGGGAAACCGGTCCCAGATCCACAGTGTTTACACTCTTCAGAACGTCAACCTATCAATGGTCCGTGTGTCATTGTCTCTGGGACAGGAAGTAACATTGAAATATGACACATTTTAGCTTTAATCTGTGAACAATGAGAACCACAGATCTCATGACACCAGGCTCTGTCCATCCTGATCTATGATCGGCCGGCACACTGACACATTCCACAGAGATCCTGACTGGCAGAGCAGATGTTCCCGGCCTATTCTCGCTCAGTGTCTCGTGTTGTTTCTCTGGGTCACCGGCTCTTATCACACTGTACAGCTGGAGTCATTGCTCTCAGAAAAAAGGTTCAAGGCTGTCATACAATAAACGAGTATAGTAAACAGCTGTCTGACTGTCACAGCTGCACACAGAGTCCATTTGACAGAGATGTTGTCCACTGAAATCCTCTAGAATGTGCACAGTTTCTGATGTCCATAGACGTGCTGCATCAAAACATCATCTCCTACTCAACAGCACAGAGATCCAGGCTGCATCTCAACTAGTGGTCGACCGATATATCGCCAAGGCCGATATATTGGCCGATATTTGGCATTTTTTTCAATATCGGCATCGGCCGATAAGTGTTCCTGTTTGGCCAATGCGTTCGACAGCGCGCCAGACTTTTATTTTGACGGCGCTGAGAGCAACATTCTCCCTCTTGTTCGCTGTCGTCATTAACAGTTCTGTCTAATACGGACAGAAATCGGTCTAATAATCAGATAGACCAGTTAAACAAAGGAATTAAAATGTGTGCAAAAAGTATTATAATGATTGCTTTTATATTTTTAGTATTAGAAAGGCATTATAATACTTTCTTTTTTGCCGTCAGCATTCAGCAAATACGAATTTATATCATTTAAACAAATCTTTGAATGACTAATGAACATTTAGTTTCACAAACCTTGCAAACTTAGTCGGATCCAGTTGTGAGATCTTGTGAAGTGTGCGTTTGTCTCCTGCATGATAGCGTGTTTTCTGCGTGACGTCGATCCGTGTGAATTGAATGCTGACAGGAGCAGAGTTCAGCTTCACTGGAGATGCGCGATCCACAAACTTTAAACTCGTGAGTTCAAATTATGCTGCGCTTTATGCATTTGCCCACTGCCATATTAATGTAATTTTCACTGTGTGCTGGATGTAAAATGAGTGTTACCTTAGCTTTATTTTGAAAAAATATGATTCCCAATGCACACAAACTTCCCACAATACTGAGTGCCCTGTTGGTTACAGTGTTTACTTCATTTTTTTATTATATTTTTTATTAAATATTTATTTATTTGTGAAAAATACTTTGTCATCAAAATTATACGTGTTTATTTAACACATTTATTTTTTAATCCATTTTCAAATTATTTTTAAATTTCTTAAATATTAATTAAAATAAATACAATTATATCGGCCATCGGCCACCCTGCTTTCCAAGATACCGGCATCGGCTGTCAAAAAAACAATATCGGTTGACCACTAATCTCAACTTAAACTACATATTAAATTGGGATTCATTGATAATATTTTAAAAACTGTAGGTGAAAGGTACCCAGATGATCTACTACTTATGGTAAGATTTAGGATTGCACAATTAATGGACACTGTACGATCCCATGAAGCCACACAAAGGGTTTATGAATGCCACTCAAACGATGCAACTGATGCTGTAGGTCACATGACAATGAAAACATGATGAATTTAGTTAATTCTATGGTGAAATTTTTTTTATAACAATCACTAAGTTTCATAGTATCTACTAAATACTTTCTTTTTCAGATACTCTCTACTTTTCAACTGTAGAAAAACTGTAAAATATAAGGCTAAGGGGCAGTTCACACAGAATGCATCTTTGCGTCTAAAAACGTGAGAAACAGTGCTCAGGAATAGTTTTAAAAAAGCGCAGTGCAGAATGCCGCTCAACGGCTCTACTGTAAACAAACGCTTGCCCTGCCTCCGAGGTCTTCTAATTGGTCCACTGTTTTTGAACTGACGTTGATGGACGGTGCTGCATGTAAAAGTTCAAATAAAATTTAACTTGACACGGCATCTTAAAATCTTGGCACTCATGAATGAGACGATGCAAAAGATGTGAACACAACAGTCATAACGTTCTGTGTGAACTACCAAAAGTATGCAGAAATGCAAAATGAGACCACAAAAGTGGGTTTTTGACAGCATGATGGTTAATTAACCGGGCTGCGAAAGTGCACAGACTCATTTCCCAGTTAAGATAACCCAGGATCTGAGATCACAGTACTGCTCTATCACCAAAGCACTTAAACTGCTCCAATGGGACAGCCCTTACATCCGTTTGCAGTGACTAAAGCTCCTTTAGATGAAAGCTTTTATCAAAAGTATGAATAATGTCATAGAGTTATTTTATTATTGTATTACACTTATTACTGTCACCTACCTAACAGGTTAGAAGTCAGAAAGCTCTCAGATTTCATCAAAAATATCTTAATTTTTGTTCCGAAGGAACATCATGAGGGTGAGTAATTAATGACAGAATTTTCATTTTTGGGTGAACTATCCCTTTAACACATGCCACCATGCTAATACTGGATAAGCATAGACAAGCACTAATCAGTCCAAACTAGTCTCGCAGATTCAGTCCTTTCACCAGTATAAAGTCTGGTCTATTTGCAGCTTTCTAGTCACACGGGATTTTTTGTTAAATTGTCCTTTATTCAAATGCATGCAAATGCAGGAGACAGGAAACACAAGACCATGCAAATTTCACTGCTTTCTAAAGTTTGGTGAACTCTGACCTGCAAATTCATAATGTGAATCTGAAAGCTGAATTAAAAAAATGCTAACTTTAAATCTGCAGCATTGCATAAGCCATTAGTGTTGAATTTATGGTCCACCCTATAGCTTACCCTATAGCGCTTTAAAAACATTGCTTTATTTATCTGACATGTCGATTTCTGGCTGTACCAGTGAGTTTGAGGCAGGACTACCAGTTTGAACAAGTAAGGGCAATGTTTGGGAAACCTGCTGGATATCAGTAATTTTTGTATTTCCCATTGGTGCCACTGTTAAGAATGTACAAAGCTATACATTTACAAAACAAGCTAGTTGGTGGGTTGCCTTAAAGGAACACTCCACTATTTTTGAAAATAGGCTCATTTTCCAACTCCCCTAGAGTTAAACAGTTGAGTTTTACTGTTTCCGAATCCATTCAGCCGATCTCCGGGTCTGGCGGTAGCACTTTTAGCTGTAGCTTAGCATAGATCATTGAATCGGATTAGACCGTTAGCATCTCGCTCAAAAATGACCAAAGAGTATCTATATTTTTCCTATTTAAAACTTGACTCTTCTGTAGTTACATCGTGTACTAAGACTGACAGAAAATTTAAAGTTGTGATTTTCTAGGCCGATATGGCTAGGAACTATACTCTCATTCCGGGTTAATAATCAAGGAACTTTGCTGCCGTACCATGGGTGCAGCAGGCGCAATGATATTACGCAGCGCCTGAAAATAGTCCCCAGCACGCTCCCTGTGCAAGCAGGTGGTCACGTTGGTTATGTTGACGGAAGTTAGCCTATTTTCAGGATGAATCTGGACTATGTTGTTTGTGATTGTAAAGGTTCATATTTATGATTTATTATTGATTGAGGTCTTTCTAGTGGATGAGTATTTTGCTGGGGCACTGCTTTGCCTGCTTGTTCCTCAATAGACCAACATGTTTACCATTTTAAAGTACCTTATGTGCTGCTAATCTGCTAATCTCGTGACATCAGACGTGCCTTTTCCCACGTGTCCCCTAGTGAGCTTGCCTTGAACCTGTGACCTTTTAGGTTACCAACCCAGGTCTTCAACCACTGCCTGAATCTTCATTAGCTCTTAAAGTTTCACTCACACACTTCTGTCCTGTAATGGTGTGCTCATGGTATTTGGAAGTGTGTGCTCCTGGATGACTACGACAGTGTTCCTCCTCTTCTCACCCCCTGCGATTAGCATCTTTCCAGAAGGAAGTGAGGGCTTCAGGAAAGGACGTTTGGGAACAGGAGGATTCTATTGTGTGTTTTTTCTTTGGAATGCTATTAACGCTATTTTCCGCTGGTTCTGAGACCCACTGACCCTGATGACATAGAGACACTTTCCTTCTGAATATAAAACATCAAGAGCATTTGTGGTAAACAGACAGTCTCAAATCTCAGTGGACTTTGTTTAGGGCACATGACATATTTCATTTGGCATGAATAGAAAAAAAGGGAAAAAAAAGATTGTGAATTTGTCTTTAGCCACCAAAAATTCATTGGATTATTATTATTGTTATATTATATCATTGATATAGAATTATAGTTTGATATTTTACATTTTATTTAGTTTGTTTTTAATTTTTTTATTTTCATTTTAGTAATTTTGTTGTGTTTTACATTTTTATTAGTTTATTTTTTTAAATGTCCATATAGCCTAGTTTTTTAAGTTTTAGTTTTTAATTTAGTTATTCACTTAAAGGCACAGTTTGTAATTTTCGCCGCTAGAGGACACGTATTCAAAATAAACAAATAGACAAAGGCGTAGTTTGATGACGCCGTGACTGAGTGTGGAATCATGGGAGTTGTGGTCTTCATCCCCACAGCCGATGCAATCCGACACGACTCGGGCAGAAATCATGTTCATGGATGAGCTAATGATTTGTTAATGTAGTAGAATGAAGCAGGGTGAGGCTGAAAGCCGTCGAAGCGAAACGAGGCCGCTGAACGAGCACGACACACGGCTCGAAAGCAGCGGAGCTTTTATTATGCCACAGTCGACAGCTTCCGCTCCTTCCGGTCGTGCGTATGTGGGGTAAAGCAGCGCTGTTTTATCATGCTAGATACATTTGAAAGTTCTGTTATAATGCTACTTTGTGCGGTCGTCACCGGACTATTAAAACGCACAACATATTAAAGCGTCTTTGGCGTTTCCAAAAAATCGAGGGGTTATGACGTCATTGGCAGGTGACACAATGATACTATGGACACACTCGATGTAACTAGTTAAAACTGCTTATTTCTCTGGATTTAAACATTCTTCGAAACATTTGGGATACTGTAAGTACACAAGTCAGCAAAATATATAACACTGTTCTAGTGGTTTTTGGATATTTTAATAAAAAAAATCTTACATATTGTGCCTTTAAACTGAACAAAAATTAGAAATGTTGCCTGATGTAAAATATTTTAATTATTTTGGTGTTTATTTTGTTTTATGGTTTTAGTTTTAGTTAAATGGTAATAATCCTGATTATTAGTCTTGGGACCGTATGACACACTCCAAAAAAAATAGGGCATAATGTACTGTATAACTTGAAGGATTTCTTCGGTAATGTTTTTTTTTACAGGTGTTTCACCTGTAGTTTGAATTTTACACTGCTTTGCATTGTGTTTTAGAGTTAATGGAAATGTTTGTACAATGAATGTATAATGTCCTGTGTAATAAGCTGCCAGTACTTTTTCTTTTTCTTTTAATTTAACTGATTTATTTTTTGCAGTGCATATTGAATGTTTTAATTCATATCAAATAAAATGCTTTAAAAGTGCTGATTGCATAAGAAGATTGTGATTTTTCATTTTAATTAATACATTTTATCTAGTAATTGGCTGTTTAATTTTCTTGAAATGTTATTGTGTTCTGATATTATTTGCAGTATTGTGACTTATTTTTGAGAGTGTGAGAATGAGTTCTGATTGGCTAAACAGAAGTTCATGCAGCACTCTGATTCGCTGTTTGCTGGATGTTAATGTAGTGGTTTGGCTATATGTTTAGACCGCTTGCATTCTCATTCATCTCAAAGACATGTGCTTGAATTATTTTGAGTGCACCGAAATTTTTGACTCGCCATCAGTGGAGAAAGATGCTTTTTTGCAGTCAGTTTGTGCAGTTACCACATCTAGAATCTGATGGAGTCGTGCAAACCGGCCAAAGCTTGATCTCTTTCATGCTCTTATTGGCTGACTGACTGGATGGAGACTGTCTGTCCATAAGAACTGAACCTGGCTGTTTGAGCCCTGCTGATCTGGCGGACGTGAGTCAGGCTGGGGGGTTTTGCTGTAAAACTGTGGTCGAGCTTGTAAGAAATTATAGTCTGCCTCGACCAAACTTCCACTCCAAGTAAACTATTCTCCTTTCTCTACAAAGAGCTTAATTATCATAGAGATAATTCTTTCCGATCTCAATAATATGTAAATAGTATCTCCTGAACGTTACTTCGTCACCTATAGCGTGGGAGCGGCAGTAGGCCATCAAGAACCATCTGCTGGCCAAAAGGGTACTTGAATATAATTGCTAGGGATTCTAGATAATCCTAACACCTTAACATTTGGTTGTTTCCACCTGAAAGACTACCAAAGATGTGGGAACGGAAGGCTATCACTTTCATTGTTATCCACAATTTACATTTAAGACGACATGTCTAGCGGGAAGATGAACGTAATAGAGTATAGAGCATAGGATGCTCGAGGTTCATTCTGACTCCGCTGAATCCGAAGTGCTGCCTGTACTTTGTCACTGCTATTCTGTAATAAAAGTTATTCTTCATCAAGATCTTCGACTTCACTTTTTCTTACAAGCTCATCCTGCCGCTTCGTTTGTTCTGTTTCTCTTATGAGAAAACTCTCATCAGGGGGAGTTATACTGAACAAAAGTCATTCTTTTCAAAGTCATACTGAAACCGTTTGTGTATTTGTTTGCACTGAAGCACTTTGCTAGCAAGTTAATTAACTAAATGCATTATATATGCAACATACATGTAATCTTACGACTTGCATCTGCACAAAACGGATGGAAATGCACATGTGATCTAGGCCGCGCTAGTCAGAATGTGTAACACTCTTGTGGGTGTGCTTTTCACATAACAACATGCCAAAACGCAGTCTGGACGACATGCTGCCCCAACACTAACCAATCAGACCTCAAGGAATCACCCAGGGTGCTGCCATAACCAATCAGAAAAAAAGAGAAAATACATGTTTTTAAAAATCATGATCATTTTCCTGATCGATCATTGTTGTCGCTTCTCGAGTACTCGTAGCCATCCCTAATTTGTTGGATCAGATGTCAGGTTTTGTATAGATGTGGTTACAGATAGTATAGATTTGATTATAACAGTGTTTTTCTTTTGCAGGTGTGTACACTGCCACGACAGATCCGGACGTTCTACCCCTCCATACCTCCACACGCACTGAGAGAGGCACAGAATCTGTTTGTGCAAGAGGTAAAAGACACACACACTTTCTTTGAATTCATAACTTCACTGTCTCACATTTACAGTCATACACTGTGTGCGTGTAAGACAGAAAAGCACAGCACCTATTGTTCTTTAACAGTATTTGAGCATTTGACATCCTCACACATACTTTCTGCACTCGGAGGATTTCCTCTGTTGTTTATAGAGAGGACTTTGTCCGAGATTGACCTTCATTTCACGTTACACACTCACTCCTAGCTCAGAGGAGAATAGTGCTCCATTGTTCTGCAGATATTCCCAATTCTTTATAAGACTCACTGCCAGATAGGTACAAACTCATGGGATACTCCCGAACTATTCCAGTACAGACACACACACTGATGTTACTGGCAGACACATGGCTGCTCTCCAGTTGAATATATCGAACAGATGGTTTAACGGGAGTTTTTAAAACCTAGTGAGCTTCATCTCTGTCTGCATGAGAAGCTGCCTTCAAAAGGGACGCCTTATAAAATACATATATAATTGACATTTCCCCTGACACCTAAAATGTTGCATCTTACTAGGGATTGTTGTTGGAGTATATGTGAGTGTGTTTTTAACATTCACCATCAGCTTTATGCAAATATTGTGCTGATGTTGTGTGTTTAAATATTGAGTGGTCCTTCTGTTTCACTTTTTTTTTATCTATAAAAAGTAAAACATTTTTGCCTTTGAGAAATGGGTTTTCCTGCCCCTGCCTTTCATCTCCTTTCTGCTCTTTCTAAAAACATCAGATTGGACAGAGAGCAAAGGATTGAGGGAATAAATGAGATCTTTTTAAGCACAGGGTGACTTTGCATAAAACAGTGGCTCAAACATAGTAATGCTGTTGCATTTCCTTTCCTGTCAGAAAGGAGAAAAGCAGTCAAGGATGTGGTTGCAGTTAACACTCCAGATCATTTAAGCTGTGGTGCTCAGGCAAATGATGCAGGTTTGAATCTGGTTTGCGATTCGTTCTGATCCTGTTTCACCCTCCTTAAATAGTTTCCACTCTTCATTATTTCAATTAAAGGGATAATTCACCCAAAAAAGAAAATGTGATGTTTATCTGCTTACCCCCAGGGCATCCAAGATGTAGGTGACTTTGTTTCTTCAGTAGAACACATATGATGATTTTTAAGTCCAACCGTTGCAGTCTGTCAGTCGTAACATTCACCATCAGCTTTATGCAAATATTGTGCTGATGTTGTGTGTTTAAATATTGAGTGGTCCTTCTGTTTCACTTTTTTTTATCTATAAAAAGTAAAACATTTTTGCCTTTGAGAAATGGGTTTGCACTGCATCTGGTGCGTGAGGTGTGTACGCGCTCTGGTGTAGTTTACGCAAGCGCCGGAAGTGATCTCTCGCACTTATACGTCACTCATTGTTTACACAGTGCACAGTCATTGTAGGTATGACGGCTAATCAAAATGGTACTTACTTGCGCTTATCCAGATTGCTCAAACCGACTTAAAACTAAAAGATTACGTTCTCTCGCTTGAACTCATTCGGGAGTGGTGACTTTCCACGTATTCCCAACTTCTGAGCCTGCTCGCCTGAAGTTATGGTTGATTGCTCTTCGGCTGGATATCAACACATTAACGTAAACTACGCCAGAGCGCGTACACACCTCACGCACCGGATGCCGTGCGTGCGCCCAAAGACAGTTGGACATAGTGCTGTATTAGAGGTAAAAAATGATATAAATACTGTTGGGTTTCTGGCACAAACCGATCGTTTCGTGTCTAAGGAAATCAATGTGTCGTCACGAGCCGCAGGGTATAATTTGGATTTGTCTGTGCATGTTTTTTTTACTCTCATATATTTTGTTACCATTGTCATGCATTATACGACTGATAGACTGCAACGGCTGGAGTTAAAAATCATCATATGTGTTCTACTGAAGAAACAAAGTCACCTACATCTTGGATGCCCTGGGGGTAAGCAGATAAACGTCAAATTTTCATTTTTGGGTGAACTATCCCTTTAAGATTTAAAACGTACATTGCTAACATACATAGTAATACATTACAAGTGCACAAATTAAAGTCATTATCATTGATATTGTATTAGTAAGGGATAATGCATGGATCGGGTGGTTCTTGGCCTCCACATCGTGCATTAAAATCGTTTAATGCACAGCTAGCCATGCATTATCACGCTTATACCATGGTCATTTGGTTAATGAGGTTTCCAGCGCAATGACCAGAAGAGTAAAAATTATGGTTATTTCATCAGTTACGGCTCGCTAGTGCTAGCATTCTGCCCGCTTCAAATCAGACACAGAGAAGAAATAGTGCTGTAAGATCACATTTATTTAAATAAATCGATCAAGAGAGAGAGAGTGAGTCAGTGTTTAGACATGCATTGACTCCTAGTTGTTGTTGTTTTAATGTAAGGACAGTAGAGAGAAGGGACAGGGCATCATGGCATGTTGCGATTCAGAAATGAACCCATGTCTGCCGCTTGAGCACCAGCAGTACTAGCTGCTAGATCTCAAGTCTAATTCACTTTAGCTTTCAAATTCATCCTTTTAATGAAGAGAGTTTGTGTGAACAATTGGAGTTGTATATGCCAAAGGTAATGCTAATGATGTTAATGCTATTGTGTTTGTTCTTACAGTGCATCAAGTCTTACATCTCTGATTGGCATGTGGTCAACTACAAATATGAGGATTATTCCGGTGACTTCCGTCAGCTTGACAAGTAAGAACCTCAATTAGACCGTGACATGTTACAGCCTGTGTGACTGATTATAGCTATAGGGACAGAGGACTGCAAGGTATCATTGTCACAGTGTCCTCCTAGGCGGCTCTCTCTCTCTCTCTCTCTCTGTGTGTGTGTGTGTGTGTGTGATTGTCAGCTCTTAGTCTTATGTTTGTGTTGGCGAGAGCAGGAAATGTGTTTTGCTGGGTAACAATAGAGCAGAGGAACAGTGAGTGAGGTCATCATCTCCACATTGCCACACATACACTTACAGAGCCTTTAACTGTTTAAATGGCCATCTGTTTTTTCATCTTTTAATGAGACAAAGTTGAGCAGGATGAGAGTGCAGCCAAGATCTGATTATCTGGAGAAAGAATCATAAAAACTTTCATTAAAAAGTCATTACCAATCATTATGTAAAGCTAAACAGATAGTTTATGTAGACATGAACATAAATGAAATATGTTCCAAACAAACAAATTACGATGCAAAATATATCACAGGTATAGATTAAAATCCTTTTTTTTTGTAGGCCCTTTTAATTTTGTCTGTAATATTTCTATGGACTCTACTGTTCAATTAATTAATAAAAAAATACAGTAAAAACAGTAATATTGTGAAGTATTGTTGTTATTTAAAGTAACTGTTTTCTATTTTGATTTATTTTACAATATAAATTTATTGTTGTGATCAAAGCTGAATTTTCAGCATCATTCCTCCAGTCTTCAGTGTCACATGATCCTTCAGAAATCATTCTAATATGCTGATTTGCTGCTTAAGAAACTTTATTATTATCAGTGTTGAAAACAATTGTGCTACTTAATATTTTTGTGGAAAACATAATACTTTTTTCGGGATTCTTTGATAAATAGAAAGGTCGAAAGCATTTCACAACAGCATTTATTTGAAATAAAAACATTTTTTAAAACATTTTAAATGTCTTTATTGTTAGCTTTGATCAGTTTAATGAATCTGTGCTGAATTAAAGTATTGATTTCTTTAAGAAGTACTTGCATACATTTTTGAGCTGCAGTGTAAGTGCTGTTTTTCCTATGAATCTGGGTGTTAATTTGTGTTTGTTTTGTACACAGCAAAGTGTCCAGACCTGATAATTTAGCCCAGCATGTTTTTGAGGTGGATGAAGATGTGGATAAAGATGAGGTAAATCAAATTCACACACAAACACACCGTCCAGAATTGCGACCCTCTTATTAAACTCTGAAACTGTAGTCAATCTTAAGTGATATTTTCCCTCTCTAATAAATCCAAAAGGATTGTGCCAGATGCTGAATATTTTTTTCCCAAACCACTGTAACACAAATCCCGCCCTGCAGCCAATTTCATTGGTTAAGGTTAGGATTAGGGTTAGGGTTGGTTGTGCTATAATATATAATATAATAATGTAATAATGCATGTAATAATGTGCTATAATAGTTTTGAGTATGAAGTAAGTCAGTACACTAGTATTAGGACATACTGTACTAACACTTCATAAAACTCCATCACTTAGTCTCATTATGAAATACTTTCCATTTTTGTACAACTCAATTTATCCAGAACTCCTTTTTATTGCGCAAGGAATAGTAGGCGGCATTACTTCGAAACACATTCACAGATGCACAGAGTAAGTCATTTGGGCCTTTTCTTTTAATATTTTCAACATGCTATGATATAAGATGCACTATTGCTAATGTCACATACTATTTAGGAGAATATGTAAACTGGGCTACAGCCAGGCTCTATGAGTGGATCAGACTTCTAGGTTTTCCCAGAATGGACATAGTCAAATCCAGTGACCTGACATTAGACTTCTGCCTTACCCTTCCCAGAATTCTTTTTTCCATGAAGGCTGCCCACATATTTAATTCTACTAATCAGCTTCCCACTCGAGATTGAGTCACGTTTCTTATTTTAGCTCAAATTTGTGCAGTACGACAGACTGATATGTAACTCAGGTCGTAGGTTTGAGAAATGCAGTATAATTATTGAGTTTTGGCCTGTACTGTGGACTATGAATAACTCTTGAGTTCCAGTTAGACTCATTTGTCTAATTTGGTCGCTGATTGATTTATTGTATTTTTAGAAAGTTAGTGTGGTAATGAGTGTGTTTTGGCATCGCAGTAAACACATAGCCAATCGCTGATGGCCATCCAATGGCACAGCCAATCATAACAGCTCGCTACATTGAGATTTTACATCATTCAGGCTGTTTTCATGAATGTTAACAATTATTAGTGATGCTTGCTGATGCTACTGGTGCTCATATTTCAACAAATCTAAACAAATCCTTAAGTATTAAATGATTTAAAAGTGTGCATGGATGATAAAAATCATGGTAAAAAAAATCTCACAGACTTACTGTATATTGAAGGAAAGTCCTGAGAAATATATAGAGATAGGGTAGAGCAGTTCTTACTTAAATTAAAAATTCATGGCATTTCAGCACAACTTCTAATCATGTATTTGAAGGCTTCTGTTGGATCATTAAAGGTCAGTTTAGTTTTGCACAAGCAAACTCGGCTCGCATTTTCCTCAGAAAGCATAAAACTGTAGATTTCTTGACTGAAGTCTCTTTGCTAAAACAGCCTTCTGAAAATTCACAAGAGGCTGGACTGTCCAAGACTGTGCAGTCACTCTGACTGGGTTTTGATATCTGCTGACTGGAAAGCTCAGATAGTGTGTGTTTGTTGAGAGAACGCAGCTCTGTGAGGTCTATGAAGCATCCAGACTCCCTCTGTTGTGTGTTTGGTTTGTTTATATCTGCAGAGTGTCAAGATTAAAGCGTTAAGGAGCGTTTAACTGGTGATTCAGAGACAAACTGACCCATTGTACTAAAGTTTAACCTTCTATTGTTCTTAAAGGGTCTTTCAGGCCAATACTCTCCTCATCTACACCTTGGAGTGTGAGGTCTGACGCCTCTCACAAAAGACCAGTTTACACCAGCATGCTTGTCCAGGCTGGTTGGTGCTCGTCTAGCTGGTGGACCAGTATAGCAATATTGGCACCAGCAAAACTGTTCGTTTTTATAATAAAGTTTAGCTGGTTAAGCTTGCTAAAAAGCCTGGTGAAATGACCAACAGACAAAGCACAACATATGCTTTACTGTTCTTGCCAGCATGAGGTCAATAGTGTGGACCATTTCACGCCTGAAAGACATAAAAAAGTACACTGAGGTAAAACAGAACAGAAATATTATTTTGGAAAAGTATTTTAATGCATGTTTTCTCAAAAATTGTGAATTTTGTTTCTTAGAAAGAAATACCAACATGTCAAATTGTAAATGCCTGCATGTCAAATAAATAATTTGGCAAATTCTTATAAATTTGTACAATCTCATTTGTACATTTTTGCATAATCTGCTTACGCCCTAGTGAGGGTATGGTATAGGAGTGGACCATCATGCTTAATTCTGTTTTCCACATGTTTTTAAACAAAATAAATAGTACGGCCTATGCAAAATCAGCAACTAGTGAAATGTAACTTGTATAGCAGCAGGCACTTCTCCAGATCTGGAAAAGAAACAAATATCATGTCTGTTCTCTCTGGGAACCTTGTGTCACTATTACAGGTGATCCAACATTTTTGAGATTTTTAATCTTTATAATGACTTTTTCACATTTAAGAATAATGGTAAAGGGAGACATTAAAAGGAAGAATGAAAATGAAGTTAAACAAAACCAAAAATGTTAAACAAAACCAGATTCTCTTATATTTGAGCTTCTTTGCCTGCTCACTCTGAACATTTACACAACCAAGGTCATGAGGTGCATCCTGGGATGATTTTTCCTAGAAAAGACTGATTATCTGTCAGATAATATTACAGATGGGAACAGGATGGTCAGTGACGTTCATACAACAGGGTTTGATTGGCCTGGGATATCACAGATGATATTGCTTTGTTTTTATCAAGTTATGGAAATAAAATAGTTCAATATTGTGATCGCACAACTGTAGAGGGACTAGGTGGAGTAAAACGGAGTCATGAAGACCTCGGCTACATGTTTCTTCTGTTACACACTTTAGGGGAGAGCTGTGCTGATTCATACTGATGAGCATTGTGTAACGAATCAGCTCATGAGGAAATATGAATAATTAATCATAACTAGTTATAAATAATTATGAATATTTAGATCCGCTGTAGATATTTAGCTGACCTCTCAGGGTCAACTGTCTTGCCAATTCTAGGAACGTTAATTTCCTGATTAAGGGAAATAACTTTCTTACTGTACAATTCTACAAAAGCTTGTAGCATAAATCTGCATGATTAAGTGACTCCAGTTATAAGCAATCAATGAACCACGTCAAGTGTGATACAAGTAAGGTTTTATTAACTACATAAACACTTAAACTAGTCTAACATACTACATAAACACATAAACTGGTCTAACATCCTACATACACACATAAACTGGTCTAACATACACTTATGAAACTTGGATAAAAATTACTAAAGACTCTTAGAACACTAATATGTTGCGTAGGTGTAAACATACAATATACACTCTCAATTAGATCATCCGAATACGAATTCATAGATACTAAACATGGTAGGGTTATATATATGTAAGCTGACAGGAGTGTGTTTCGATTATAAGCCTGCATAACAGTATACAATTTCAAAGACAAAATACACGATGACAATAATATACCCAATGACCTGAAGGATCATGTGTGTTCATTCAAAGAAAGGTTTTCTATTAATTAATTAGCAAAGAAAATCCTTCCCTTGTGGATTTTCCTTATGGGCAAAGAAGCGATTTTCTTCACCTAAATTCCAGGAGGTCATAAATGTATCGGGTGTCAGGGTTGCCATGGAACCAGGGGCCTGTTCGGCTCCCTGGGGTGTTACAGAGTATTTGTTAAATCTAGCTAACAAAATATATATTGTGTGTTTGAGTGGTCCAGACGCTACAATTGTCTACTTTGCAGGTGTTCGGTTACAGTACTGATGTTCATGTAAGTGTCCAGAGACAGGAATGGTGTTATCAGAGGTTCTGTAGTGTACTTTGAATCAGGTTTATCTGAGGTTCTGTTCAGTCGTGCAGTCTGGATTCTGTTCTTTCTCACTTATTTGACTCCTACTTTGTTCAACTGCAGAATCAAACAGACAAACCTTGGACTGTCATCACAAAACTGTTTCTTGTTTTTGTGTGTGTGTAAAGGACACGGCCTCTCTGGGCTCCCAGAAGGGTGGTCTCATTAAACAGGGCTGGCTACATAAGGGCAACATGAACAGCGCCATCAGTGTCACCATGAGGGTGAGAGTCTTCATTCCTGAGGAGATGTTATGTCTATGCACGTGTTTGCTTTTCATGTCTCATTTACACTCTTCTTTTTTTTCCACGCAGTCATTCAAAAGAAGGTATTTCCACCTGACACAGCTGGGCGATGGGTCGTATAATCTCAACTTCTATAAGGATGAGAAGATCAACAAAGAGCCCAAAGGAACCATCTTCCTGGACTCCTGTATGGGAGTGGTGCAGGTGTGCAGACATGCTCTAATGTTCACAACACAAACCTCGCTCTATCTTGTTCAGAAATCGTCACGGTATTGATTCACATTTCAACAGAAATGACGTTTAAGTATATTTAAGTTGACTATAAATGCTTGTCAGTGCATTCACTTTAACCATATTTCAATAGGAGTAATTATGAAATTGCATATAAAGATGCACTTTAGTCCTACTTAAGTGGGTCAAAAACACTTAAGTTCAGCTGATTCTGTTTAATATAAATGTAAAATGTAATACATTTTCACTTAATTGCAATTAGCATGCAGTTAAATGTCTGAAAACATTACATCCAGTGCACACTTAAGTATATTATTTCCATAATAAGTACTGAGTAGCGTGATGAGAAGGCAAAGAAAGTAGAGAGTGAGGGATGAAATGGCTCTCCTCCCTGTGTTTTAATAATTGATAAGCATTCTCTCTGGGAGTGAATTTTCCACATACAGAAATCCCCAAATAAAGCGCTACGCCGGAACCTGTGGCCATAATCACTCATAGGTATGGTCAGCAAGCCAGCGTCACACCCTACATGTGTTGTTTTGTCATTATCTGCAATGAGTTGTGTCCGTTTAATTAGCCCTCTTCCTCTGACCTCTTGACACGCCTCTCATCTCCTCACCCCCCGTCTGCATCAACAGAGCAATGGCTTTTACTGCAGACTGGGGATATTAGAGTTAACTAAAGCTAAAACCATAAAAAACATAATTACCTGAAATAAATTAAATATTAGCTTCTCTGTCATTCTCAGTTGCTTGATAGTAAAATAACTCAAATTAAAACTGAAATAAAAATGTATAAATTACAATAACTAATAAAAATGACAAAAAAACAACAACAAAATTACTAAAACTTTAATAGAAATTAAGTTGAAATCAGAAAATATAAAAATTAAAATAAAAACTATTATAGTATTTCAGTGTTACTAAAATAACACTTCTGCAGACAGAAACAGAGAGAGAATGAGGGAACCTGCTGAAACACAAATAGGAGAACATACAGATTTGACATTGATTATTATAATGTAAATGAGAGCTTCCAATGTAAGGTTTTAGAGATTTTAGTCTTTCTAGCATTAGGAGTGGTCAAATAAACAGTTTGGTACATTCTGAGAAAAAAAAGACTGCACTGGTGAGCTCAGCAACATAAAAAGACCTGGACATCCACGGAGGACAACAGTGGTGGATGATCGGAGGATCCTCTCCTTGGTAAAGAAAAAACCTTTCACAACATCCAGCCAATAGAAGAACACTCTCCAGGAAGTAGCTGTGTCACTGTCAAAGTCTACAATCAAGAGAAGACTTCACCAGAGCAAATACAGAGGCTTCACCACAAGCTGCAAACAAGGCCAGATTTAGGGCTGCACGATTATGACAAAAATCATAATTGTCTATTATTGCCTTGAAATTGTAATTGCGATTATTAATTATGATTATCACAATTTACATTGAATGATGTTTATACCATTGTTTGATGCAACTGCATGCCGTATTTTTATATGAAAATAAGCAAGCTGAAAACACTCTAACTGAAAAACCTTTAGTGCTTTTCTATAGTATTAAGCATCAAATGTTAACCATACATTGAATTGGTTTCTTCTTTAAATTATAAAAAAATTAAAAATATAAATGGTATAATAGTGTTATACTAAAACTAAAATTAAAACAATGGAAAAACCCCTTAAGATAACATGTAGAAAGAAAGAAAAAAGCATCTTAAGCACACAGAATAACATAAGTGGACTTTGTATGATTAATTGCCGCTTTGAACGATTACGTAATTGTGGCATCCATAATTGCGATTAGAAATTTGATTAATTGTGCAGCCCTAGCCTGATTAGACTTTGCCAAAAAACATTTTAAAAAAAACTGACCACTTCTGGAAAAGCATTCTTTGGACGGCTGAAATTAAGATCAACCTGTACCAGAATGACGGGAAGAAAAAAGTATGGAGAAGGCTTGGAACAGCTCATGCTCAAATCTGTGAAACATGGTGGAGCAGTGTGATGGCATGAGCATGCATGGCTTCCAGTGGCACTGGGTCACTGGTGTTTATTGATGACGTGACAGAAGACAGAAGCAGCCGGAAGAATTCCGAAGTGTATAGAGATATACTGTCTGCCCAGATTCAGCCAAATGGAGCAAAGTTGATTGGACAGTGCTTCTTAGTACAAATGAACAATGACCCAAAACATACAGCAAAAGCAACCCAAGAGTTTTTAAAGGTAAAAAAGTGGAATATTCTGCAATAGCCAAGTCAATCTCCTGATTTCAACCCGATTGAGCAGCATTTCACTCGCTGAAGACAAAACTAAAGGCAGAAAGACCCACAAACAAACAACAACTGAAGTCAGCTGCAGTAAAGGCCTGGTAAAGCATCAGAATTCCATGGGGGAAAACTGTTTTTATGCCTAGATGTTCTAGCGTCTGCCTGAAGGGAGCAGTGCAAACAGGTTGTGTCCGGGGTTAGAGGGGTCTTTGATGATGTTACCTGCCCGTGTCTTCACTCTGGAGTTGTACAAGTCCTGAAGGTTGGGCAGGTGCACACCAATGATCCGTTCTGCTGTCCTAACAGTCCGCTGCAGTCTTCTTATATCTGATTTGCTGGCTGACCCAAACCAGACAGTTATAGAAGAGCACAGAACCGACTCAATAACTGCTGAGTAAAACTGTGTCACCTGTGCCTGTGACAAGTCTAACTTCCTCAGTTGACAAAGGAAGAACAGCCTCTGCTGGGCCTTTTTCACAATGGAGTCTATGTGAATGTCCCACTTCAGGTCCTGGGAGACGGTTGTGCCCAGGAACTTGAATGCCTCCACTGCAGTCACAGTGCTGTCCATGATGGTGAGAAGGGGGTGTGCAGGGGGGTTCCTCCTGAAGTCTACTATCATCTCCACAGTTTTGAGCGTGTTGAGCTCCAGGTTGTTGTGACTGCACCAGACAGCCAGCTGCTCGACCTCCTGTCTGTAAGCAGACTCGTCACGTCCTGAATGAGATCGATGACTGTAGTGTCTTCCACAAACTTCAGGAGTTTGACAGAGAGGTGAGTAGAGGTGCAGTCTCAAGCATCACAAAGGAGGAAACCCAGTCTCTGGTGATGTCCACGAGTTCCAGACTTAAGGCAGTCATTGCCTGCAAAATATTAGAAATGAACATTTTATTTATGATTATATTTATTTGTCCACATTTGAGCCCCTGAAAATGGAGGGACTGTGTATAAAGATGGTTGTAATTCCTACGTTTTTTATGTTATATTTTGTTCAACCCCTTGAATTAAAGCTTAAAGTCAGCACTTCAATTTCATCTTGATTGTTTCCTTTTAATTCTATTCTGGTGGCATACAGAGCCAAAATTATGAAAATTGTGTCAGTGTCCAAATATATATGGACCTAACTGTGTGTGTGTATCACTCCGCTTGTTCTAGCCGGGTCTATGTTCTTTTTTTAATTATTCACTGAGCTAAGAGTATGTTAGTTAATATAAGAAGAAACTTCTAGCTTCACGGTCTCTCTCTCTCTCATTTGGATGCACCTCTTGCCGCATTGTTTCTCTCTTATAACCTCATTAATTCTCACTAATAACCTAATAACCTAAGCACATGCCCTTGATACGAATTCTAAAAGTGACGTATGTTTAACTGTCAACTTGAGCTTTGAATCCGTGGCGGAAGGAAGTAGTTTTATTAGGCACTCCGTTGTTTCTTGTTTAATTACACGCATGTTCCATCGAACTGTTGTATAAACGCAATATCACTCGAGTATGAGAGCGAAACCGGCTCTATATCAGCGGCTGTGATTGCCTCTGCCTCTGGCCTAATCACAGCCGCTGATACAGAGCCAGTATCGCTCTCGTACTCGAGTGATATTGCTCATATATATATATACAATTTAAAGTCCTGTATTTCTAGGTGGCATACATTTAATTAGTTCATTTTAATTCGATCAATGTTTCCTGCACCATTGTTCAGTGCCACAGTAAAACAAATCATATTACATATTATGATTTTACATATTATTTTCACTTGTACATTTTCAGTCTAAATTTAGTGTAATGAGTAAAAGTGTCCAGTACTGTTAAAAAAAATCCCTCTCCCGGCACTCGTCCTGTGGCCTCGTGCCTCTGGCCTAATCACAGCCATGCTGATATAGAGCCGGTATCGCTCGAGTACGAGAGTGATATTGCTCATATATATATACAGTATATATATATATTTATGTATATATCATATTAGTGTGTTCTGTTGATTTTAAGCTCATTTGAATATAAAAGCTCATTATTTTACTGTATTTTTTCCTTTACTGTATTTCTCTATTAATCATTAGATTCTAAAAAAAAAATTTAAAAATAGGTTTCATTTTCTTCATTTAAAAAATTCTTCACTTTTTTGGAGGGACAAATAACCCATTTATGATTGCATACAATTCATCCATTGATATCCCACTCTTAACATGTGTAACAGTTAAGTAGTGACTGGTTTTGATCTGATCTCAGCGCATTCTGTGTGGCTAAAATACACAGCTCTGCCTGCTGAGCAAGCAGCCGTGAGGAGCCGTGAGGAGCTTCACAGGAGAAATCCCCGACTGATGAGGGGTCAAAAGTTGGATTCCTGCATTTTTCTCTGGTGTTCTTTGCCTGACCAGATGCTCCTGCTCTTATGTTTTTAAACCCATCCCTTTAAAGACAATTAACCCCCCTGTAAGAACTGCCCTGGGCAGGGTTGGGAATCTGTCGCCCTCCGTATGGAAATCATCTCACTTCTTTCCCAGGCTTCTGGGAAGGTTCTACAACATTACATGACTGAAGTTGTACAAATGATAATCTGAATCTTGCTGATGTAGCGTACATGATGCACCTCAAAAGTCATCTACTAGAGATGTTTGTGGCGGTTTTTACTGTGGTAAATGTATCATCATGTGAGTTCATTTTGAACTTCTTTTATATGTGCAGAACAATCGTGTGCGGAGGTTTGCATTCGAGCTGAAGATGCAAGATAAGAGTGGCTATGTTCTGGCCGCTGACTCTGAGAGCGAGATGGACGACTGGATCAGCACCCTCAACAAAATCCTCAACAGCAGCTTTGAGCTCGCCATGCACGACAAGAGGAACGGAGACTTACACGATGGTGTGTGTGCAGATTATCAAGAACCCTTAGTCATCTGTGCGTTTTAGACACATTTAGATGCACATTCCTGAAGCAAACCACACTGACCTCCACACATGGGAGTGACTGTATACACAATGACAAAGAGACATGACTGTGTCCCTCAGAGAGTTACTGTGGTTACTGTGTGGTGTAATGACTTTCTTCTGTCCGTCTGTTGTAGATGATGAACAGGCAAAAAGCGATCACTCCTCTAGCAGTATGGACAGTTTTCAGGTAGGTCACACTTGTGCAGAAACAGCAATGACCCTTGAGTGTCAGAGAAACTCGACTGAACACAGAAATCATCACACTACTGCTGAGTTTGAGGGGGATTTTTTTTGTGTACAGTTGGTGTGTAGCTAGACTTTTGACTGTCATTTTAAAGTCTGGTCCACTTGGCAGCTTATTCTGGCCAAGAACCGCCCACCGAGACTGGAAGGGCTGTTTGATAGACTTTATTTGACATTAAGGGATGGAAAACTGAAAATCTTGAAGTAAAGCAGAATATAAAGGTGTGCAAGAGGAAATCGTGCTTACTTGTTACTAAGCCTTTCAGAACATCTGTGAATATCTTGTGAAGTTTCAATGCTATGAGCACCAACAACTTTGTCCATTTCAGCAACTAGTTCTTTAACATTTATCATTATGTGAAATTTCACAGGCGAATTCCATTCACTTCAGTAGCAATATGTGTTGAGTTTCATTTTGTTCAGTGTTGATTTGATTTAGATCAGTAACAGTGTGAATGGTGCAAAGTTCATTATGAAGCGAACTCCACTACAAAGCAGTCCTATAGCTTATAGTGTTTCTATAAAGCTAATAGTGTCATTATTCAGCGCATGTCAGTTCAGTGTTGATTCAGTTCAGTTCAATAATTTTGCAAAGTTCATTAAATCATGAAATGAGCTAGAAGCAGCTCTACAGAAGAAAACCGTGTCATTATAAAGCACAAGTCAGTTCAGTGTTGATTCAGTTCAGTTCAATAACAGTGTCAATGTTGCAGAGTTCATCAATTATGATATGAATGTGATTGAGCGATACAACAGCTCTAGAGAAGTAGTCATTATCAGCTCAATTTAGTTTCTCATCCAATAGTGTGAGTGCTGTCAAATCAATAATATTGCTATATAATATATTAAGAGTCTTTAAAACCCCAGCTGAGCAAACCAAATGTGACAAGCAAGAAACCCAAACTCCATGAGAGAAACCAGGCTTAGACCTTTATAATCATTTTGTTGGCCAAAATTTAGAAACCAAACGTTTTTTAAATAATCTCTTCATACTATCAAAATAAGGCTTTAATTGTGTGATCTCCCAGAAAGTTGGTTTGCTCCAGATTGTACAGTCATCGTCAAACACAACTAAGAGAATATAGCATGTAAATGCACATATGAAAATATAGAAAATAGTAAACTTTTTTCCACTACTTTAACATACGGATGTGCTATGATAACTGTCTTTGGTTTTGTTCATCTGGAGCTGGAAGTGAATGAGACTGAATCAAAAAACTTGAAAGGTTTTGACTGATATCTCTCCTGCTCTGTTCTCCAGAGTGCCAGAGACATCGAGAGCAAGATGAGAAATGAGACACGGCTAAAACTCTTTACACTGGACCCAGACTTACAGGTACAGCAAATCAGCATCTTAGCATGATTTCTGAAGGATCGTGTGACACTGAAGGCTGGAGAAATTATGCTGAAAATTCAGCTTTGCGTCACAGGAATAGAGACTTTTTTTCAAAAATTGTCCTGACCCAAAACTTTTGAACGGTAGTGTATAAAAATATGTCGATAGATGAATCTCATGAACTCATCCTCCACAGAAACTGGATTTCTCCGGGATCGAGCCAGATGTGAAGCCCTTTGAGGAAAAGTTTGGAAAGCGAATCTTGGTGAACTGTAACGACCTGTCCTTCAACCTGCAGAGCTGTGTAGCGGAAAATGAAGAAGGGCCAACCACTAACGTACTTTACCGTACTAGCTATAGTTTCCAGCCATTTCCATCACAGTAAACCAACTTCTGAGAGTTTCTGTACTGGTTTGCATTGCAGGTCGAGCCTTTCTTCGTCTCTCTGTCATTGTTTGATATTCAAAGTGGACGCAAGATCTCCTCAGACTTCAATGTGGATATGAACCATCCGTCTGTGAAAGCGCTGCTGCCCCCGTCAGGAGCTCACAACAGCACCGCAGCGCCAGACAGTCCACAAGCAGCTCAACCGACAGCCAACAGCCTGACAGAGAGCGCCATTCAGTTTCCACGACAGGTGAGGACACACAGAACAAGAGATCCAATCTCTGTCAACAGCAACTGTGACCTGCTATTGATAGACACACAAAATCATTTTGGTTCATCCCTCAAATGAAAGCCATTTACAGTATTACAGGCATAGACACTCAGACATAACATCAGTTCTGATCATAATGACCAAAATTCCATTTATTTTTATGATTCTAGCCCTTTGTTTTTTTTATGGAAAAACACACACAATATATCTCACATTTTCCAAATACTAAATGCTGAGTACTTTTTATTTTATTTTATTTTATTTTATTTATTTTTTTTATTTTATAATTAGTTTTATTTAATTTAATTTAATTATTTTATTATTTTACAGTCTTTGGATAAGTCAATGCTTAGAAACAATAATCATTTTAAATAATAGTAAAAAAAAAAAGAATAATAATAATAATTTTGAAAATAGTACAAACCTTTCAAGCCTATTAATAAAGAATGTATAATTTTATGCTTAAATGGCACTGGAAAAAAATGTTTTAGTTTCAGTGACTTTCAATAGGATCATTTTGTTGTTAAGGCCCTGAGTGTAACTGTCCTGAGTGTCAGGTTTTTTGTACCTAGTGTAAAATACATTTATGAAGGGAAATGATGGTGAAATTCTAATAAAAGACACATTTCTGGCACATTTTATGCTGTTTGCAATAACACAAACAAATAAAAAGACAAAAATGTCCCTAAGGACGCACCTGGGGTAATGTTTAACTCTCTTCTGCACACCAAGGCTGCATTTATTTAATAAAAAATAGAGTAAATGCAATAACATTGTGAAATATTATTACAAAAACAACTTCTTTCTGATTTAATACATTATAAAATGTAATTTATTCCTTCAGAAATCATTCTAATATGCTGATTTGCTGCTCAAGGAACATTCCTTATTATCCATTATATTTCTGTAGAAACAGTGTTGCTTTTTTCCCAGTCACTTTACTGTTAATGATCAGTGTTTAAAAAAAACCCAGTGTTCTGCTTTTATTTATTTAAATTTAATGCATCATTGCTAAATAAAAGCATTTCATTTAAAAAATATGACTGACCTCCAAACACTTGTGTGCATTAAACATTACTATCCTTGTTTGTGAAAATCTTTTACTTTCAGCTTGTCTAATCATTTCTGTCTATAGGGAGTGTTTTCTGTGACCTGTCCGCAGCCTGACATCTTCTTGGTCGCTCGGATAGAGAAGGTCTTACAGGGTGGAATAGCACATTGTGCCGAGCCTTATATGAGGAACTCAGACTCTGCTAAGGTAGCGCTGCTGCTGTTGTGTGTGTGTGATATCACTTTTAAGCCTCTGGAAATGTGGATAAAACCAGATGTTGGCGAGTGTTTTTAAAGCTCTCAGATTTCTGGAACAGATACTCAGATATACTAGCCCTTCTCTGCCTAGAGACCCCTCATGCTATTTCCATTCTGGGTGTGTTATAGTAATATAATTCAGATACAAATAAAGGTTTTCATAGTCCCATTTGAAATGGCATGCTTTGCAAACCTAATTACGGAGCTGCATTTCTTTAAAAGTGCAGTTCTTTTCTTTCCCCTCTCCTCAGGCTGCTCAGAAGGTTTTAAAGAACGCTAAGATGGCCTGCAGCCGGCTGGGTCAGTACCGAATGCCGTTTGCATGGGCCGCTAGGTGAGACACACTGACTTTTTATTAGAATAAGCTCTTGAAAGTCACACACTGATGGTGGAAGTCACTTATTATGGTTACATGCCATGAGCAGGACAGTTCTGAATGTGAGATTGTGGAGGATGCGGCAGACTATGTGTCCACACTGTACAACTGTGGAAATCCAGGCAACTCACTTACTGAACTACGCTGTGCATCTGGATAAGTGTCACTTTTAACAACTAAATTGTTAATAATTTTCATATTGTATATCAAAATCTTAAGAAATATATTTTACATGAAAAAATCTCATTTTTAAGGCCATTATGATTTCTTTACATTGTAACATAATTAGACTACTGTAATATATATTACTTAAATTTATTTTTTATTTTGCTTAAATTCTAAAGTATAATTTGTAAGTGTACAATGTGGTTGTATTTATTGCACTGAATTTAGTTTATTGATAATGCAAGTAATTTTTGTTTTTTAAATGCGTCTCGACTGGAATTTCATTTTAGGGTATAGGATCGATGTCTTCTGTGAAGTGAGAAATGATAGTTGTCTGTGTGTGAGAAAGATACTAATATTTTAAAGTTCTGTTCATGAACGTACATATAATAGTAGGCTGGAAGCAATGGCTTTTAGTTTAAAATATTATTTTTCTCACAAACACCTGTCATTATGTTTCAAAAGACATTCGGATGGAGAATCCGTTTAATTGTCATTAAAATGTCACAATGCTTAAAAATTGTAAGTCTTAAAATAGGCTTTATTGCAAAATACATTTTCCTATTTTTCTTTTAATTTGGAGAAGAAATATGGTGTGATGTGTCCATTTTTTGTAAGATTTGTAACATGGTTTAATGCTCTTTTCCGTCATTTGATTATAATTTGAACATATAAAAGGCACATAAACATCCCTTAAAAAAATCTAGTTTACCACCTGCTTTCTGTGGACAGTAATAATGCGTTTAAATCGCATTAATTGGAGTAGGTCAATGTAGTGAAACACATTATATATTGAGGTTTATTTGCATGGAAAAGTGACACATTTGCCCTGAAATAACTTAAAAGTATAATATGTGTGGTACAGTGCTTTACCAGTGCATATAGTGACTTGTTAAGTTGGACTGTGGATAGTATGAAAACATCACTGAAACAACTCAAAGGTCTAAACTAGGGATGCCCCGACGTATCGGCTGCCGATATTTATCGTTCGATTTTTCCTCAATTTATAACTATCGGCTATATAAGGAAAAAGGCCGATATAACAAACCGATGGTTTATTAATTAACTGTGTGAAGGCACTGAGCTGTATAATGTCTGTTGCATAATCCTAGCACTGCTGTCTGCACTTTAATGGTAATCAAATAACAAAAGACAAAAGATCTCACACTATTCTTGACTAAATAACTTTTGTAACTTTCATAAGTGTAGCGGACCTCATCTGAATGATGACCAAAACTTTACTGATGGTTTATTAAGTTTATTGCGTCCTTTTTCACTCCAAAAAATTGTTGTAAATTTATTTTACATTTGTTTACTTTATTTCTGTACCTGAAAACTGTTAAACCTTCCTAAAAAGCACTGTTTATTTAATATGTATCTTTGTTCTGTTGTATTTATGTAGGCCTGCTAAATGTTAAATGGATCCAATCCATGTTCATTACAAATTATTTGATGCTGCAGCAATAAAACTGCTAGTATAATTTAATGCAAGTGTTTTTGAACTTTGCTGATTTAAAACATGATCAAAATACTATCTATTTTGATGGCAAAATTTCAAATAAGAGAGTAAGTGACAAATATCGGTATCGGAATCGGCCAATAAGTGTTTGTTAAAATCGGTATCGGCCCAAAAAAATCCTATCGGTGCATCCCTAGTCTAAACTATACAATGACTTCCATCCTGAGTGTGTGAGATTTCAGTTTTACTGTAAAAGCAAGAAAAGTAAAATCAATAATGTTCAGGCAAATAATTGTACAACTGTTTTTGTTCTAGTAAATGCCATTAAGTTTATCTTTCCAGTGGGATGTTACAGATGAGCTGGGCAGGATGTGTGTGTCTGTGTGTGCTCTTATCTCTTTCACCCGAGTGAAAAAGTGGCATAACACAACAGCAGGATGAGCTTTGTGTCTGTTTCTCAGGCCGCTGTTTAAGGACGCCTCTGGGACGGTGGACAAGAGCGCTCGATTCTCGGCTCTCTACCGACAGGACGGCAACAAGCTCTCCAACGAGGACATGTTCAGACTGCTGGCAGACTTCAGGAAGTCAGTTCTACAGTCATACGCTCCAATAATAACACTCTTGTAGTGTTTCAGGTGTTTAGCGTTTGCATGACCTGCAGAACGATGTTGTACACACTCTTGTTCAGCTATTGTTTTTCTCTCTTCTGTCAGGGGTGTTGATATTTTAGAAACAGAATAGCCTCTTTGTCCCCTTGTTTATTTTCCCTCCTCCGTGCTTTCTCTTCTCTCAGGCCAGAAAAGATGGCCAAGTTGCCTGTGATTCTGGGTAATTTGGATGTTACGGTCGATAACGTCGCACCAGATCTCACTAGTAAGGCTTTCATATGCTTTTCTAAATGTCTCTCTGCATTAAACGCAAATTTGGATAATTTCAACCACCTGCTGCTTCTCACTGACTGGTTGATCTCCTGTGTGTGTAGATTGTGTCACGCCCTCCTATCTTCCTCTTCGTCAGAAGGAAGTCGCAGCAGACTGGAGCAGGATGGTGTTTGAGGTGGAGGAGTTTGTGCCGTCTATCGCTAAATGCTCCCAGCCTTTCACAATTTACAACAATCACCTGTATGTGTATCCACGCCATCTCAAATACGACAGCCAGAAGAGCTTCACCAAGGTAAAACAATGCTAAAAGTCTTAACTCACAGCCCAGACTTGTTTTTCTATAGAGCAGGGGTGTCAAACTCTTGGAGGGCCACAGTCCTATTGAGTTTATGTTGTGTTTCATTTACCTCAGAAGTCAGATATCAGAGCTGGGAATGATTTCACACCCGAGTCAAGGTCAAACCGTGATGGATGCCTCCATTGTTAGCAATACCAATACTGCAAAAAAATGATTTTCTTACTTAGTATCTTTGTCTTGTTTTCTAGTATAAATATCTAAAAATTCTTGAATCGAGATGTATTTACTTCACAAGTAAAATGACTTAAGATAATACGTTTTTTTTTCTAAAAATAAATTATCAAAATGTAGTTAGTTTTTGCCTAAAACAAGCCAAAATATCTGCCAGTGGGGTAAGAAAATCTTAATTCAAAGGCTAAACAAGATTATTTTTCTTGCCCCGTTGGCGGATACTTTGGCTTGTTTTGAAGGGGTCATCGGATGCCCATTTTCCACAAGTTGATATGATTCTTTAGGGTCTTAATGAAAAGTCTGTAACATAGTTTGGTTAAAATTTCTCAATGGTAGTGTAAAACAACACTGTATCTTTACCCGGTCAAAAACAGCTTTGTCTACAGCAAGCCGTTTTATTGCATGTTGCTTTAAATGTAAATGAGCTCTGCTGGCCCCGCCCCTCTCTTGCGAGCCGCTCTCTGAGAGACGGTAAACCTTAGCCACATTGTTCCGAAAGCAATGACCGCATTCATCATGTTTTGTCTTCTTGCTCTGAGGCGCAAGTAATTTATTATATATGAAAATGATTATATTCTCCTACTTTTCTTAGTGATTTATAGTGCCATTTTATCAGGAAGTGATGATTTTGTTCTCTTTGACTTGTTGGATTGGAAACGATGCTTGTTCGCAAATTTTTTATGCAATATTCCAGTTTTGCGCATAAGTTCAATTCGCAACTTTGGATGGAAAGCCGGCTACAGACAAACAGAAGTGCTACCAAATAATATATTGCTGCGGTTGTTCATGTTTTATGAATGTTGACATGCTGAGTAGCCTTTTGGGATTCTGAACTCAAGAGTTTCCAAGTCGGAACTCTGACTTGAGAAGACATTCCATTTAAAAGGTCCTATTGGGAAAAGGAATTTCCAATTTCTGAGCACAAATGGATCAGCATTAGTGCAAACCCTGCACACATAACACACATAAAATAAGCCTGAAGGACTTGATTAGCTGCATGCATTTAATTTAGGTTGAAGCTTAACTCTCCATGGCTGTGGCCCTCCAGGAACTGAGTTTGAGGACATTAAGGGAAAAATGCAGAAATCGATCTGAACAAACATTCTTCTCAATATTTAAACATATGCAGTGGAAACTACAGGCAGTAACAAGTGTAATGAGGCATTAGGGAAATATGAAAAGTACAAAAAAAATTGTTTTACAAGCAATGGGACACTAGTGCTTTTCTGTTGCCATCAAACAAGGAGAGAGAAGGAATTTGATGTACCTCAAGAATAAATCAGTCAAACACTTAACTTAAAAATACTTAAAGGCCCCTGAGATTTTAAGTTAATATTTAAAAAATGTAACAATAATTGGACAATGCAATCACAGTTTACTGTTCTCTGATGTTGGTTAATTGGTGACATGACATGCAGGTAAACAACTAAAACATTTAGGCCTGGTTTCACAGACAGGGTTTAGACTAAACCAGGATTAGGCCATAATTCAATTAGGACATTTAAGTAATTTTTATAAATGTGCCTTACAAAAAACATTACTGGTGTCCCTCTTGAGACAAAACAAAGGCATTGATATATTTTAAGATCAATCAGTGCAAGTTTCTTTCAGTTGAAACAGCTCAGACTCACATTTTAATCTGGTACTAGGCTTAAGCCTCATCTGTGAAACCGGGGGTTAAACTTTTTTAACATGTTTAATTTTAATATTTGCATCTTTATTAGCTTTTCATCAACTCACAAATCACTGAAGTATCATATAAATGTCACAAACGTTTTACAAATAGATTCTGTACAATTCTGTTTAAAACTCACAGGACTCATGTAGCAAAAGTGTGTAGGATAAGTACAGTTGCTAAAGTAGGATTAGAAAGATCAGTATTTTTTTAAGCAAGTGCTCAGTGAAGTGTTAGCTGATTGTATTTCATGTTCATGTCTCTTGTGATTCCAGGCCAGAAATATTGCTCTGTGTCTTGAATTCAGAGATTCGGATGAAGAGGACGCTCTCCCACTGAAGGTAGTGTCTCACACAAACACTAAACACTAAAATAAATTTAAATTGTAATATTTCCCAACATTGCTGTTTTTCTTGCATTTTTGATCAACTAATGCCACCTTATGTAGTTTGTGTAACTGTAAGTGATCCTGTAGCTGTCTGTGCTCTGTTTTGTCAGTGTATTTACGGGCGTCCAGGAGGGTCTATGTTCTGTAAGAAAGCATTTGCTCCCATCTTACACCACCAGCAGAACCCAGAGTTTTATGAAGAGGTGAGACGTTTACCTCTGAGCTCTACATATCTCCGTTTGTGTGTTCTTATGGTCAAACTGCTGTGTTGTCTGTGTGTTTAAACGCTTGTTTTTAACGTGTCCAGTTTAAGATAGAGTTGCCGGCTCAGCTGACGGACAGACATCATCTTCTGTTCACTCTCTATCACATCAGCTGTGACAGCAACAGCAAAGCCAGCACTAAGAGACGAGAACAGGTGGAGACACAAGGTGAGACACACACTCACATACGACCTTCTGAAAGCAGCCTTAACCACTGGACTGAAAATACACAGTGAAAGAGTTAAAAGAGAATCAATATTTAGATCCATTATAACTAATTAAACGCAATGTGTGGGCTGCATACGTTGACATTTTAGGGACCCTGTTGCTTGCTTAGTACCATTCCACCCACTCATTATGTTGTGTTGTGTTCTGGTGTGTGTGTGTGTGTGTGTGTGTGTGTGTGTGTAGTGGGTTATGCGTGGCTCCCCTTGCTGAAGGATGGCAGAGTCATCATGAATGAACAGCAGGTGGCAGTGGCTGCAAACCTGCCTTCAGGTTACCTGAGTTACCAGGACAACAGCAGCAAGGTGAGAGATTCTATTAATATTAATCATGTTTTTTTTTATAGTGTTTTGTTGCGTTTTAAAGTGTTTTTTTTTTTGTTGGTTTTTGTTGTTGTTTTTTGTTGTTTTTTGTTTAGTTGTGTTGTATTGTTTTGTTTTGTTTGGGGTGTTGTTTTTGTGTGTGTGTGTGTGTGTGTGTGTGTGTATTTTGTTTTGTTTTGTTGTGTTTTTTGTTGCTATGTGATATGCTTTTTGTTTTTTGTTTTGTTGTACCATGTTACTTGTCATGTTGTTTTGTATTTTAGTTTTTTTGTAGTTGTGTTTTATTTTGTTGCATTGTGTTTTTTTTTGTATTTTGTCACATTTTGTTGCTGTATTTGTGAGTCGAGATGTGTTGGGTTAAGCTGCTAAGGGGTGAATTAGAAATGTGTTGCAAAATTCACCATTGAAGACAATGTCACGTTAAGCCTTTGCGGGGCCCTGGGCTAACGCAGCTTTGGGCCCCCCACCCACCCCCCCACACACACACAATGGTTTTATTCAATTAATTAGTAAATCAAATATGCAATCAAACTCTGTATAAAGATGCACACGTTATACTCTTGAAATAAAAATAAACAAACACAATGTGCACATCATAATCCCATAAGAGGCTAAAAATTATGTACATAAATTAAACAATATTATCGAGTAATAATCGTACAAATCACAAACAGCTCAGCAAATAAATTTAAATATCACTCACCACTAAAAGGGCTTCTTCCTGCTGTTCTTCTAATACACTAGAAGTTATAGAAATTTAAAACATTTATAATTTTGTTTCTCTATTTAACTTTAACTTACAATAGTGAAAGACATCTTCTCTCAGGTAGATTCTCTCAGTTTTCTAGCTGGATGTTGTGCTTATGATCAATAATCACATCTTTGCATTTGCTCAATTGATTTGCAGAAATCAAAACACGAGTCCCCCTCGCTGTGAAGCAGTGCCACAAACTGGTCACCTCCATGCCACGCCGAATTGAGGCAGTAATTAAAGCAAAAGGAGCCCCTACCAAGTATTGAGTACATGTACAGTAAATGAACATACTTTCCAGAAGGCCAAGAATTTTCCAAGAAAATTTTTTATTGGTCTTATGAAGTATTCTAATTTGTTGAGATAGTGAATTGGTGGGTTTTTGTTAAATGTGAGCCAAAATCATCACAATTAAAAGAACCAAAGACTTAAACTACTTCAGTCTGTGTGCACTGAATTTATTTAATACACAAGTTTCACAATTTGAGTTGAATTACTAAAATAAATGAACTTTTCCACGACATTCTAATTTATTGAGATG